CTGATCAACATCATAGTAAAATGGACTAGGTACAAAGTGCAATCTTAGTTGACGTCAAGATCCGTGTACCTTAGCATCGGTAAGGGGGAAAGAAAGATTCTGACTTACAATCACAAAAAGAACGTATAACTAAGCTTAGTCGATGTAAGTTAGCTCAGATTAGTGGTAAAAAGAAAGCGAATATTAATAAAAAGAAACGTAATCCAGCTAAAACAAGAATTATGGCTACTGTCTTTAATAAAATGATATGTTGCCAGTACTAGTAGAATTTTAAGTGTTGAGTTATCTTCTTCAGGCAATGGATGTACGTATGCGTAATTTAAAATGTTTGGTTAATTATTATTATGTTTAATGTGTTTTTGCAGTTAATGAACATATATCTCTTACTGAAGCAGATAATGAAGATTTGTGTGCTGCTGAAGAGCTTTGCTTGATTTACAAAACTTTGTTTAAAAGCAGAAAATTGGGATCGATTGTTTAACACAAGTGAAGAGTGGTGATTTAGTTGATCCGTTTTCAAACAGAATTGTTAGTGCTAAAGAACTATCTACTTTAATAGGATTGCAATCCTTCCAGTTATTAGCCACCATTGTGGAATTAGTGGCAGAGTTGTTTCTAAAGAATAGGAAAAAGGAGATCAATTATGTCTGTAAAGGATCAAGTTATATTTACTTTTATGAAGTTGAAAACTGATATGCAAGATATAATGTCTTATCCATTTTATTTGGAGTGAATGAAACTTTTTATCGTTAAATTTTTTAACAGTTTTTAATAAAACTGGTAGAAGTTCTTAGTATGGTATAATTCGGCCTTCAAAACAAGAAATATTAAATAATGTGCCTCTATGTAAGTAAGAGTACTACTTGATTGTACCGAAATCCCAATACAGCAAGCCAAATGTCTTTGTTGTAGGCTAAAAAATTACTCTGACTACAAAAAGAGGCATACTATTAAAATATTGACTGGAGTGTCACCTACTGGTCTCATTACTTACAAAAGTGAAGCATATGGTGGTAGAACTTCAGAAATAGACATGTTTTAACAAAGTTCAATACTTGAAGTATGTGAATCATTTCTCGATAGTAAAATGTTTAACAAAGGTTTTCTTATTGGAAACATAACAGAAGCTGAAGGTATACAAATTATACAGCCTCCTTTCCTCAATAAAAAAAAATCAGTTCAGCCATCAAGATGCTTGACTTAATGCCAAAATTGCCAGAGCTAGAATTCACATAGAAAGAACCTATCAAAGAATAAAAGTGTTTATCTCTCTGTATTGGTACTTATGTCCGTTTTTCTTCTATTTATATTGAGTTTTTATTATACGATACTTCTCTGTATATAACTAACTTTTAAAATGTACTTGTAAAGCCCAGATAGCTCTAACTCGGCCTTTGAATATAATAATATTTATGTAATTGTATTTACAATAAATACTTTATTATTAATATTATTATTATAATTAATTATTATTCATAAAATTATTATAAACGTATTTACCTTGTACCTACTTGTATTGATACTTGCGTGAAAAATGAAATATTACTTTTTATATTTTTGTAGCTGGTCTTACAAACCTTTATAGAGCAATTCACCATTTAAATTTAAAAACAAAACAAGTTTGTATACTCAAATAATTAAAAAACTTAAAACAGAACATAAGTATAATTAAAACTAAATAAAATAAACAATTCAACAAAATGTCCGACTGAGTAATGACAATGAGAACAAAATCTCAACTAGACTAAACTTTCTTTAGAACCGGTCCTGTGAAAGGTTTGTTTACCAGTGAGCACTCAAAATTGAGACAAAACACAAACATTGCATGCACTAGACAAAGAGAAAACATCTCCCAGTTCGACCCGCTTTTCATCGTTTTATTTACGTATGGATAAGCAGTCTATTTAAACTATATATGTCATTGGTGTCACTACGACCAGCATAAATATAAAGGGAGAATTTAGGAGTTCATTCAATTTGAGAATTGTTTATTCAAAATATTTTATTATTAATTTATAAATGATAATAAATTGAGTAATAGTAATCAAAATAGTTTAATAATACTAATTTTTGGCTTAGTCTTATTTTTTACTGTTTCCTGTCCACTAATATCCGTTTGGTAGTTCTCTACTTTCCTCTGGTCTTGTTTGACTGCTTCTACACCTTTTTATGAACATCATCGCTTCTTCTGCAGTAATTATGTCTTAGGACTTCTTTTTCGGAATCCTTGCTACATTATCATACCATCTAGTACTTTCCTTCCTAACAATTTAAGAATGGGACAGCATGTATCACTGTATTAGCAAGGGCTTCCAGAAAATAGGCCTCAAAAACTTTACTATTTTTATTAAAAAATATAGTAACGCCATGTCTCCATTCTTAAAGCTTCTGCAGATCAAAAAGAATTGTATATTTGTTTGATTTTTGTTTAATAGCATTTGATAAATTAGTTTTAATAAATTTTATTTGAATTAAATAATAATAGGTACACAGCTCACAAAACGGTCTCATTAGTACAATAAATAAGCACAATAGGTAGATGATATTATTAAATTAAATTTGGCACTATCAGACCATCAGATACTGACCGATTTAGGTGCTACATTTTCGCATACAAGCCTCGAAAAGGGTTGAGTAGAATAATAGAAAATTTACGAGTAGTTCTTGGGGATAAGACATGGAAAATTCGATTTTCCTTAACAGAAAAATTTTCTGACCCCAAAATATACTTATCCATTCGGGTTATTCAAGCCAATATGTTTTTCGGACTATAATGTACGTTTTCATACATTCGATGGGCTTGTGTTCAAAAATCGGTTTAAATCTCGATTTTTCCTTACAAGATTATGCACTTATTTCAACCCTTTAGACACTTGCAGCTAGTTCTATTTAGTAAATACGGCTTGTGTGAAAATATGGGTAATAACTTTTAATTTTAGTTAGGGAAAATCGAATTTTCCAAACGTTATCCCCATGAGCCACTCGTAAATTTTCTCGTAAGTTTTCTCACATTCTACTCAAAATCGATGTAGTTTTCAGCCCTCTTCGAGGCTTGCATGCGAAAATGGGACACCTAAACCTGTTACTATCTGACTGTCTATATTATTTATAAACATCGCCAATCGAAACTAGGAAACTACAATATAGTTCTAAATGGCACTACATCTGCAAATAATTAATTAGAGTATAAAGAACTTCATACCAATAATTCAGTGACGTGTAAATTGGACCAAATAATATCAGTACTTCATAATGATATTTTTGAAAGCAGGTATTCAGTTTCCTACGTGTGTTAGGGTATAAGGAAATCAATCTGTGTACGATTTCTTGGTAGATTATGTAAGTAAAAATAATATTAATATCTAATATTCAAACGTAATACCTTTCAATCTGTGTGTGGCTGAAGGACTAATGTCCATTGCCAATAAAGCGAAAAAAAATAATGATGTTTTGTTACTGGAAATGATACAAATCAATCTTAAATCATTTAAAATAAGAAGTTTCTAGCAGTGAACTAACCTAACTGAAAATAAAAAATTTCATAGAAAAATAAAATTATTCCCAATTAGTTTAAATTATCTGCATATTCTGATAATTGAACTTGTGAGAGGTTTTCTCAACTTGTGACGTTCGAAGGGTTGATCCAGTTAATTAAAAATAGGAATGAATTTTTAGTTCCTTACAAACTTTTCTTAAATTAATTTGGCATACCTTTTTTAGTCCATGGAATTGGTACTTTTTGCCTTACATCAAACGAGGTAGTTCTGATTTTTTTGATGTGTTGGTAGTGATGAGATGGCAATGACAAATCCTGTGTTACAGCAAAATTTACTATGCACACTTTTTAAGTACAGTAAATTTGAAATGAAATGAGAATAATTTGATTTTGGTAGGCCAAATAGTTTATAAGATACGGCTATTTAAAAGTTTGCAAAATTTCAAAAAAGGAAGTATTACTTTTTTTTTAGTTTACGACAATTTTTACCCCTAAGGAGTGGGTTTATGGGAAAAGTTACTTTTTTTTTAGTTAATAAAGCCCAGTAAATTCCCAACAAAATGAGACCAATTATGTCAACTTACACCTGTTAATTCCTGAGACACACCTGTTCAAAGTAGTTGAGGTAAATAAACAATTATGTAATAGAAGGGTTTGCAAAATGAAGTTAATGAAATAAGCATTCTAATTTATTAAAATAAACATTTTTCTAATTAAAACATTAATATGAAAAATGTAATGAAACGCCTCATTGTATTTTATGTACAGCACAGTTGGGGAAATAGTTATTACTCGCATTTTTGGTATATTAGTGATGGACCAGACTCGTCCTCTGAATCCACAGCACACCTTTTGGGGACAGCTTGCTGAGGTAGAATTTCTTCATCGAACTGCTCAGGAATATCGAAATCGTCATTTGATGGTGTGTAATCAATGAATGGTTCATCAATGTCGGTACATATCAGGTCTGGTATGTTCTCGCAAGATTGGCCAGTGTAGTAGTTGCAAACAGCCGAGCATTTCAGTCCTGCTTTCCTGCAACTACAACCTTTTGCGCAGTTACAGAAAATCATATTTGGCTGATGATGCCATCATCTGTTGAAGAACGAGGCTTTGTGCACTCCGCATCCAACCCTAATCGAGAGGATTCTTTTCATTTCCCAGCCACTTCTGTACCTGAACAAAATCAACAACAAAATAAGGAACCATGTATAATGAATGTGGTATAAAGCAGAAAAGAATGGAAGCAAAAAACTTATTCTCACCTGGTGGTATGTTCGCAGAGAGCGAAATCTTGCAGCATTCCTGGTTGGAGGCTATCCGGCAAGGTTCATGTTCGGCTTAATTGCCGCCCTAGTGAACAACTGGAAGCAAAAATTTTGCGATTCTTTGTTGCCTGCATAAAGTGAAATGAGGAAGGTATCTCCTGCGTCGGCAACTTGCTCAGGTGTGGCATTGGAGCTTAAGAAAATCTCTGCGTTTTGTTCGAGGCGTGGCTGTTTTTTTATTGTCGATAGAAATTTATTTTCTCCTTGGCCAAAAGGTGCTGATGTTGTATCACAACCGCTAAACGCGTAAAGGAACAGTGCTATTCCGGGTTGTGATAATTGTGTAATGGAATTTGTCGAGTAGGTCTGTGATTTTTCCTCTCCCACATTTTACAAATATAATATATTGTTATTTGGTCTGTTTGTTGAAAGGATGTGGTCTCCTCCATCTCGTGACAAACCACAAAGTAAGACCATCAAATCTATATCCTCGCCGACGATCTTCACTACTTCGTAGGAAGAGGATATGGAAATGGCTGTGGTTACTATTAACCTATCAGCATCTCCCTCTGCCTGTAATGTTAAAATGTTGTTGTTTTCCATGTAAACCTTCAGCATGTCGGTGAGTCTAAATGTATTCCTATCATTCAATAGGAACTTGTCCTGAGCAACTGAAGCAATGGTTGTTTCATCGAATATAAGATCAGGAGAGGACGTTGCTAGAGCTCTACGCAGACGTTCAAATCTCTTGGTATTTTTACGGATAGCCATCGAAAACTACAATTATATTTGAGCCGTAGTGATTTTGCAATAATTACTGGACATATCGGGAACCAATTTCTCCAAAAGACGCATTACGAGGCCACACTACTTTGTGGAGCAAATGTCCACCGTCTACAACTATGTGCGTATCATTCCTCTGTTGATTCTCATTCAGACTTACAGGATTGAAGGCTGTATAGAATGATATGACTTTATACCCTTCCTGATTCCATCTTCATTAAATAATGACATGGGAAATGGTGACAATTCATGTGTGAAAAAGTCCCATTATAATATTTAATATATGTTATGTTACACATAAAAGTAAAAACAAAACACACTTTCAGTAAAAATCTACCAGACAACTAAAAAAATTGTAATACTTCCTTTTTTTTTAAATTGGACTTTAACAACTAAAAAAAGGTAACTTTTCTAATAAACCCACTACTTAGGGGTAAAAATTGCCGAAAATTAAAAAAAACTGTTATACTTCCTTTTTTTTTTAAATTTTGCAAACTTTTAAATAGCCGTATCTTAAAAACTATTTGGTCTAACAAAACCAAATTATACTCATTTAATTGCAAATTTAGTCTACTTAAAAATCTGATGTGTCCAACACATGACTTTCCTATCTAGTTATTATAGGCTTTTTCCGGTTATTTTGTACAACCTGCTGCTGCACCTCTATAAATGTTTAGAAGATAAACTAAATATATACATTTTCCACATACATCTAACTCGACACATTTTTCTATAATATATATTCCATAAAATATAAAAACGGCCTCCCATAAAGTACCTCACCCAGATGTTCCGACTCTGCCCAAAATCTAACCAGTTCATTGGACGCTGGAACAAAGCTTAAGTATAAAATTTGGTGTTTTTCTGTTTATCAGTTCATGAGTTATGCGACACACACACACACACACACACACACACACACACACACACACACACACACACACACACACACACACACACACACACACACACACACACACACACACACACACACACACACACACACACACACACACACACACACACACACACACACACACACACACACACACACACACACACACACACACACACACACACACACACACACACACACACACACACACACACACACACACACACACACACACACACACACACACACACACACACACACACACACACACACACACACACACACACACACACACACACACACACACACACACACACACACACACACACACACACACACACACACACACACACACACACACACACACACACACACACACACACACACACACACACACACACACACACACACACACACACACACACACACACACACACACACACACACACACACACACACACACACACACACACACACACACACACACACACACACACACACACACACACACACACACACACACACACACACACACACACACACACACACACACACACACACACACACACACACACACACACACACACACACACACACACACACACACACACACACACACACACACACACACACACACACACACACACACACACACACACACACACACACACACACACACACACACACACACACACACACACACACACACACACACACACACACACACACACACACACACACACACACACACACACACACACACACACACACACACACACACACACACACACACACACACACACACACACACACACACACACACACACACACACACACACACACACACACACACACACACACACACACACACACACACACACACACACACACACACACACACACACACACACACACACACACACACACACACACACACACACACACACACACACACACACACACACACACACACACACACACACACACACACACACACACACACACACACACACACACACACACACACACACACACACACACACACACACACACACACACACACACACACACACACACACACCGACATCATCGCGAAAATATTCAAAACGGATTCAGGGGACCTCAAAACGTAAAAATCCGTCTAAAACTCGAGGTCGAAAAAAATCATGATTCCTATACTTTCCTTATATCTGTATACAGATAGGAAAGTACGTCCTTGGTGGTGTGGTAGAAATTGACAAAAACCGAAAAAACTCCTAAATTTTAATAAATTTTCAAGTATTTAACTGTGATCCGAATGGCTTTCAAAGTGAAACACTTGATTTGTCATTACCAATTCATCAACTCATAAAAAATCAGAACTACCTCATTTGATGTAAGGCAACACTTCTTTTTTGGTACGATTTCCATGTCCTATTTTCATTTACCTTATATACCATGTTCAGTCAAGCAATTGTCTTAATTCAGAAGTTTACAAAATGCTCTCTCAATTTGCAGGTACTGTAATTAATCAATTTGAAATTGAATTTTGAAAGAAAAAAATCATATATAGATACATATTATTCGAAAAGGAACAACATGCATGGCAATAAAAATGCTTAAATATATCGGAAGAACTATAAATAAAAGGAAAACTTCTAGAATAACTAAGACTTAATTTAGGTAGATTGTGAGATGGTCGATTGGCACTACTAGCTATATTAATAATTTTTTTCTCCAGCTTCTAAAAATCTAACGGCTGAATTTAGGTGTATACACAAAGATAGTCTAAATCTTTAAATTTACAGCCATTTTCGGCTATGAACTTTTTAGGAAAATTAACAAAAGTTTGTGGGAAAAAGCAAGTCACATATTTGACATAGGATTTCTGATCATTCTGAATTATTGGAATGAAGGCATATAGGTATAGAAAAATGGATATGTATAGAAATGATTTAGATTATTTATTAATATTAAACGTTTTATTTACAATTGTTTTATATTTGGGTGTTAATATTATATTTAAAAAAGTTATACTTAGCTATAGGTACCTATTTAATGTATAGAATAAATGTTTTAAAATGTTTACAAAGTAGCCTAAATCAGTAAAATATATATATTTATATTGTTATTTGTTGTACAATTTTGAAAAATAAATGGTTTGAATTTATCCAAATGGCAATTTAATATTTATAACACTTTTTAAGTTAGCGTGGAATTCCCACCTCTACAAAATGGTAATGTAGAATTTCTACTTACTTACGTTTCAAAGTTTTAGTAAGAAAAAATTTAATGAGGCAAATTATTACGTTATTGTATCAAATTTGTGCTTAGTGATATTCCAGATAAAGTTTTGGTAAAACTAGGATAGAATTTTAGGTCCAAAATATATGAATGAGTAAAATAAAAAACATTGAAATAAATAAACCACCAACCGCTTGGATATGACAAAAGTAGGCGACATATCACTCCTAGTTGTAACAAGTATTGCCTATATTTAAGGCATTGAATGCAAAAATAATACAATACAACTAGGGATCGAACCCTCAGGAGCCCGCACTTTCACATAATCATGCACCATTGCCAAATATAATGAAGGTCGGTGTTTAAAGCGGTCTCAGAATTAGATTGCTTCTAACTTTATATCGAAGGAAATATTTAGTCAATGTGGTTCAGTTCGTGGTAATAAGGTGGCAATCTTAATACTGAATGGTCATTATTTATTAATAAATCGTAGTTTGTGTGATTTAATAAGGACCGATTCTACCGTTGTGTTAAACGAAGTTTAAAATGACATTTTTACATTAACAATGTCATTTTAATCTCTGTTTAACACAACAGTGGAATCGACCCTTAGTTCATTAAAATAGAATATGTATTACCAATATTTACAAATTACTTGAAATAGATTGAGAGTAAAAAATCATTTTTAAAAACAAGCTTTTATATAAATGCTCTAAAAAGAAGAAGAAAAAATTTAATTAGTTCATAATAATCATCAATTTATTACGATATACAATTTACAAGTATGTGATATAAAAACTTGTGAGATTTACCAGTTTAAATTTATTTTATGAAATACATGAATGTTTTCTTAGAATTACTTGTGTCAAGATCAAGTTACATAATGTATTTCTTGTTTATTTACACATATAAATCTCGCGACAAGCTTTTATATAATATATATTGTATAGGGGAATAAATTAATGGGTTTGATTTAATTTAAAGTTTCTTTTCTTCTTTTTAGAGCATTTATATGAAAGATTGTTTTTAAAAATGTTTTTTTACTATTAATTTATTTTTATTTTTTTAGTTTTCGCTGAACATATTTCTAAGTGTTTTTATTTCATTTAATGCGTCATTGTTGCATGGCCGTTTGTCTGTCAATTTAGTACAGTCTAATTCTTCAATAAGCAGACCTTATAGTGACTTGACTCTACTTAAGGTCACGTATGCTTGGCCAGCAGCGAAGAGCTTTGAGCCTAAATAGACTACGGAATAATTGACAGTATAACCCAAGAATATGTTTCTAAAAAATTATTCCTTAAAGTTAAAGATATCTTAAGGGCGGGTTATATGAAGCTTACTTAAAGTTAAACTCGGTTTGAGGTGACATATGACTAATTTTGTATGGCATAGGTACAGTCTAAACACCATAATATAGTCTTGGTTAAAAGATTCTATTAGTGATCATGCACTAAATATTGAAGATTATAACTTACTAAAGGTACATTTACATCTGACATTTATTGCATGAGAGTTATGTCTGACAGTTGTTTAGTCCAGTGTAAACACACAAAAATTTCTCTCGGAAATATATATCTGAGTGTTTACACTGGACTAAATAACTGTCAGACATAAATCTCATGCAATAAATGTCAGATGTAAACGTACCTTTAGAGCTGATAGAAATGCTAGGGGAAAGGGTTTATGCATGTATTTTAGACACGGATTTCGCTACGAGGTAATGGTTAGTAGACAAAACTGTATTTGGGAACAACTGTGGATAAAATTGGTTGTTAATAAAAAAGTATTGGCAGTGGGGGTTATTTATAAGCCTCATGAGCAAAATACTATCTCTTTTATACATGAATTTGAAGACAGTCTTACCTCTATTTTGCCAATTGTTGATGAGATAGTATTATGGGGAATTTTAATTTAAATTTGTTGAATTTTAGTAACATAACTGTATCAAGATTTTATTCACTTTTAGAAACGCTTAATCTTTGTCAATTAATAGACGAGCCTACAAGAATTACAGCAACATCAGCTATTCTTCTTGTTACGTGATAGTTCAAAAAGGAGCTCCTGTTGAAAAGGGAATAATACATTATGCAATTTCTGATC